ATAAATTTTACGATAATACAATATTTATGATGCAATTATATTTCATCAATGAGTTCATTTTTATTTGAATTGTTCGTTAATATGTATTATATATAATATGTATTGCAATTTATGTTATTTAGAAATTTAGAATAAAATATAATTTTATATTAATGAAAAATTTGAAAAAAAAAAATTGTATTACGTAAAAATTATAGAGTGATTATTTGCAAAAAGAAGAAATGATTTATATTATGAAATAAGAAAATAAGAATGAAATATAAATAATAATATAATATTGAGGAGAGAGAAAAAGATTCCTTTTTAGAGAGTAAAATAGAGAATTGGATTGGAGTTGATTGTCTGAAAAAATAGAGAACTCTATATTTGGAGAGTAAAATAGAGGATTGGGTTGGAGATGCTCTAAATGGTTGTTAATCTTTTTCTTTGGCCTACTGTCATCGGTCCGCCCTCCATCATTAATGTCACACATATGATATGGATTTCTTTTTGTTTTTAAATAAATGACTACATCATAGGTCTTTTTTTAATATATTTTATGGAATAAGGCATCAAAGACTAGAATAAAGCTGATGTCGTTTTTACTAAAGCATCCAATAGGAATGAAGCACTATCATTAATTAATAAAGCACTAATTGTTGTTTACCTACCAATACCATTAATTAATAAATTAATAATGCATTCAGAACTCATAATATACACATTCCAGTCTGTTTGTGCCATTGCCAACTATAATTATTGTTTGATCTCCTCACCCATCTCTATGTACTAGACAACACCTTGTGCCATATAGTATTTTGATTTACATCAATCAGTTAACAATCGATTGATCTACCATTGAGCTATTGAGAAATAACAAGAGATTCGATAAGTTAATATTGAGGTAAGTTCCATTGATTCATAATTTAGTTTCATACTTAAAGGAAATCTTTATCCTCTGAATCTATATACTCCCCCTTCATCATTTGGTGATTGTTTTTTCCTTTTAATTTCCTATAATCCCTTCATCTAACACCTGAAAAATACAATGAAGGATACACAAACACAAGTCATAAAGAATAAAGCTAACAAATATTTTCAGTTCCACCAAGTCTACTACAGTCAAATAAACGAAAGAAGGAATTAATGAAAAAGGAGAAATAAATTATACAAGACACTAGTACAGTAGATTGTACTAATATATAAAACTTTTAGCTTTTGAAGTTTAGCTAGACCTAGATATTATATTTTTATAAGGCATCATAGCCAGATCTATTTTCGTTTGCACTCCTGATCCATGCTCCAATTGTGAAAAAGTTAGATGATTTTTTAAAATTATCATAGATTAGTCTCTAGAATAGTTTAGTGTAGTATCATCATATCATATTATCATGTATTATATCATGTAGGCATAATACATAAATATGCCCTTTAACAATTGGCCTCAGCTCATATTTATGTCTTTCAACTTTGAGTGTGCACAAGTAGACACTTAAACTTGCATAAAATTGAATAAGTAAACACATGCATCCTACTGGCAATTTATGTCCTATGTGGTGTCCTACGTGTATTATGCCACATAAGACTCATGTGTCTACTTATTCAACTTTATACAAGTTCAAGTGTCTACTTGTGCACACTCAAAGTTGGAGGGCATAAATGTAAAATGATGCCAAATTAAGGGGCACATTATTATTATTATTATTATTAAAAGTGGGAAGCTCCAAAGTGTAAAGTTGAAATACCATTTTACCCCTTTACTAAATATTTTTGGGAAAATGCATAAATACCAACCAGCCTATGCCCAAAATCTCTGAGACACACCTAACCTTTACTAAGGTCCTATTACCCCCCCCCCCCCAAACTTATTTTATATATAATTTTCTACCCTTTTTCGACCTACGTGGCACTATCTTGTGGGCCCAGTGCGTGTTGACAATTTTTTCAAGGATAGTGTCACGTAGGCTGAAAAGGAGTAGAAAACTATATATAAAATAAGTTCGGGGGGAGGGGGGTAGTAGGACCTTTGTAAATGTTAGGTGTGTCTCAGGGATTTTGGGCATAGGTTGGGGGTACTTATGCATTTTCCCAATATTTTTTTAGAAATCATATATTATATATTATTAGTTATTATGTATTAAATATTATGTTATCATTTATCATTATCATTCATTCATATTCAATCATCCTTATCTATAAATGTTAATTTATTTTTTGTTAGAATAAAGAAGACAAATGAAGAGTTGTGGAAATGAGTAGTTATGAAAAGCTACAACAAATAAGTATAATAAAAAGGTCTTTCGCGAGCTTGCAATAATGGGATGTTAGAAATTTACTTTTTTTATGAAATAGTAAAATGCCTGTAGAATTTGAAAAGTTAATATTTCATTAAAAACATAATAAAAGATTGCATTCATCTATTTAAACAATCAATCCTTACTATTAAAACATAAAGAATGTGAAGAGTTACATTGAATTAAAAAAAAGACCATAATCATCTATAAAATCAAATATATACGGATCACTTTTATAGAAAAAAAGGAGAGAAAAAATCATGAATTTTATGGATTAATGTTGGAGAAGAGAATTTTGTTCTCATTTTTTTTCTTGGAAAAATCTGATTCATATGTCCATCTCAAATTTGTTTGCTCTAATATATTGCCATGCATATTTTTAATTTTGTTTGCTAACTAATTTTTATTTGTTTCTCCACATTACAGATTTAACTTTGTGCACTCTTCACTTCTCAATCACTAATATCAGGTACTCATTTTCTAACAATTATTATTTTACAAAAATATAATATAATTTATAGGAAAATGTAATCTATGTCTAAGATTTATGAGAAGTATAAAGATATTAACGTTATATATATATATAAATGATTATTAGTCCTTTGAACTTTTTAATTTTTTTTTTTGAATATTTACACATGGTGATAGATTCTTTTATATTTATTACATTATAATTATATTTGCAAAAGTTTACTAAAATTATTCTGTTAAATTCACATATATTATAATTTATAATCTTGAATTAAACATAGGATGCATGTAAGCATTTGAAAACATAATGATTATGTTGTTCATGTTCACATTCAGACTATTTGTTGTTGAAATATCAAAAGACAAAAATATGTCATATATCATAAAAATTGCACAAGAAAAAGGAAGGACAAATCAATTCAATTTATTATATATAGTTACTTTACTTTTAAATTTTTAATTAATCATTATATACATGTTTAATATTATCTATATTAATTTAAAGGTTAGATAGGTTGACATTGAACAAAGGTGCAACACACGTTTTCATAGACTAGTATTACTAAAAGTGAGAAGCTCTAGATACAAAATTGAATTTTCATTTTACCCTTACACGAAATAAAAATATTATAAAATATTCAATTTATAAAATATTTATTAATCAAAATATTTTAAAGCCTTTTCACGTCATAGATTTATTGCAACCTAAAGAGTGACGTGTTTAGTAAGTAATACATTGATCCGTTATTAATTTAATTAGTACGCAATTAATAAATTTTTAAAGAAATTAGATAGCAAAGTCATACTATAATAATATAATAATAAAAGTGGGAAGCTTCAAATACAAAGTTGGATTACCATTTTACCCCTAGACTAAATTAAAATATTATAAATATTCAATTAATTAAATGTTTATTAATCAAAATATTTTAAAGTCTTTTCACCTCCTAAATTTATTGCAAGCTAAAGAGTAATGTGCAAACTGGTAAATATTTTTTTTTGTCATATTAATATTGCTTAATGAATCAGCCACAATAATCCCACTCCCACTCTGAGTGTATATATATATATATATATATAACTAAAGTATATAGAAGACAAGAGCATTTTGAATATAAAATGCCATGTTATTCTTAAAAATTATACAATATTTACTGCATAAACATTTTAGAACTAAAAGTATATTAGAAGACAAGAGCATTTTGAATATAAAATGCCATGTTATTCTTAAAAATTATACAATATTTACTGCATAAACATTTTGAACTAAAAGTATATAGAAGACAAGAGCATTTTGAATATAAAAATGCCATGTTATTCTTAAAAAATTATACAATATTTACTGCATAAACATTTTGAACTAAAAGTATATAGAAGACAAGAGCATTTTGAATATAAAAATGCCATGTTATTCTTAAAAAATTATACAATATTTACTGCATAAACATTTTCAATATTACAATTTACAATCTTAAATATATTAGTGGTTCCAATGTATTATAAGTATTTAATTAGTTTTTTGAAAAGAAAAATTGTCATCAATATTTTTTCTAATAAAAACGATAGTAAAATGATAATAAAAATCACACTTTATAATAAAATATTATTATTTTTATCAAATAATATAGTAACTTATTTAAATTGTCTTAATTAACAATACAATATCATATGCACCAATGGTTATTTTTACATAATGTCAAACAAATAAATTCGAATTAAACACTTAATTTGATGATATTCTTTTCACATTTAGAGTAGTATAAACATGAAAAATAAAATTAAATTATATCTTATTTTTAAGATAATAAATATTATTTTTAATTATTTATTTTTAATACATATGAAAAATAAATTAACACAAAGAAATAGATAATCTTTTTATTTCACTTTATTTGAAAATCCGCATTTGATTATGAAAATTACAAATATAACTTAAAGTTGTATTTGAAATTTGAAAAACATTCAAAACCTTGTTAATACTTTAAGGGGCCGTTTGGTTACCGTATAAGATGCATTTTTTTCTCATATATAAAAAGTTGTATCTGTTTTACTATGTTTGGTAGAAATTTTGTATTAGGTAGAAAAACCAACATGACTTACCATGTTTGGTTGATACGTTTCTCAAAATTGTATAAAAGTTATTCTTGTATTAATTCTATACAGTGTATTGTTACATTTTTTGTAATCCTACATAATTGATACCTACATAACTTATGAGGGAATCTATGTATAAATTATACATGATAAAAGATGGAATAAGTTATGAGGGTATTAGTTATACATGTATTAAAAAAACTACACATTTATCCCTATTACCTTTTTATATTGAAAACTCTAGATAAAACTTTACATAACTATTCTATTTTCCTAGCTATTTTTGTTTCTTATTTCTTTTGTATACGAACAATTTTTTATTTGTTTTCATTTGAAATCAAAATATAAATATTTTATTAATATTATGAATCGGAATGTATAATTTTGACAACGCATATGCTAATCATATATTATCACCATATATTACTAAATATATTCCACATATTTAATTATTATGTATTGTTTTTTTATTTGGAATATAAATTTATATATAACTCATATATTTGGTATACTAAAAATGTACAAATAATACATGCAGCATCTTGATAGAAATTTACATTATATAAAATAGGATTTTATAATGTACTTGAAATATATTTGTGGTATTTTATTTTTATAAGCTTTAAACATTAAAAAAAAATAGAGAGAGAAAAAATAAATAGAATTCCCACTTAAGTATAGAGAAGATTTTTTGGAAGTTTTTTTTTTTTTTTTTTTTTTGGGAAATTATACGATTTGCTTGCTTATTTATTTGTAAATAATATATTCAATAATTAATAATTTATGTATTGTAATCTCTACATAATTAAGTAATACCTACATAACTAATATTTGCATAACTAACACCAACATAATTAATACCACATAACTAAATCCTGCATAACTAAATCATGCATTACTAAAAACTGCGTAACTCTAACCAATAACCAAACAGCCCCTAACTATATTATCCTTTTTAAAATTTTATCACAAATTCTTTATTCTTATAAAAATGACCCCATTTGAATTATATTTCATATTAGTTTATTTATTTAAAAAAAAAAACACATTCAAATAATCAAATATAATTTGCAAAATCAATAGCTTGACACAAGTTCAACTTCAAAAAATTTAAATAAAGTGATTTTTTTTTTGTTATAGTATGTGGTAGTTCTTATATGAGATCTAATCTATGACATTATACAACTATCTATTTTGAGATATTACTTTTTTTTAGTGCAATTTGGTTGTACGTCTCAGGTATATTAGTCAAGTAATTTTTAGAAACTGAGGAATATAAACCATATTTAGAAAAACATAATATATAAATATATCTTTTAACTTGGCTTCGTCTGACATCTATGACATTCAACTTAGGGAGTGCACAAGTAAGCACTTAAAATTTTATAAAGTTGAAGAAGTAGACACACGCGTCCTACGGGGAATAACACACGTGGGAGCCACATAAAATATCGCATAGGACGTGAATTATATTGTCACGTAGGACACAAGTGTCAACTTGTTCAATTCTATACAAGTTTATGTGTCTACTTATGGATATCTAAAATTGAAGGACATGTTAGATGAAACAAATTAAATGACATATTTATATATTATGCCTTTAGAAAAAGTATATTTAAATTCTAAATATTTTTTTGCATAAAATTTAACCAAACATGACTTCAACTATAAATTTTTTAAATAAAATAAACAGTATTTTTTCATGATCAAACCACACTAAGAAAGGAAATGATTAAATGCCCTCAAATTTGAATTTTTGGTATGAAAAAATCTCATTAAAAACTATACATTCAAAAATAAAAAAGAATTTTTTTTAAAATGTATCAGCTTGAATGTACATGGTTTTGAAGTAAATCAATAAATGGGGTCCATGTAACTTTGCAATGATTTCTTTTACTCCTCCCAATGTATTGGTACACGTGTGCCCATTAAAATCCACAACTATTGACTTAGTGATGGATTCATTGGGAATTACATAAATTTTGGTTGGTTTTTCTGAAAATTTTAATACTTTATGCACAATGTACACTTAAACTAAGCTTGAAATATTTTTTGTTTGACAAAACTACCCTTGGTCGTCCAGGGCTTCACATTTCTATATAATAGATAGAAAAATATATACATGTCATGCTTCTTTTTTCCTTCCACATATTCCTCATTTGCATGTTAATTTTTTTAGTTATTATTGAAGATTTTTGTTTGTGCTTATGAGTTTCATGTTATATTCTTCTTTTCGGAAAAGGGCCTAAAATACCCTCAAACTATTGGAAATGGTATAAAATTACCCTCCATCCACCTATTGGCTTCCAAATTATTTTCTTTTCCTAGTTAAGTTTGATACTAAAAATAAAATTCATAAAATAAATTCATTTTCTCATTAAGTTGTATTAATTTAATAGGATAGTGACTTAAAATTTTATTTTTTAGAGGTCAATCGAAAAACATGTAAGAAATTGAATTATTTTTTATTGAACCATTTTCATTTACTATCTTGAATATTTTAGTAGCTTTAAATAAATTATCTTAATAAATAACGTTCTATCACTCTTATAACATGTAAAAATTAAAATTGAATTTAAACCCACATAAAATCACATATACCTGCAACCCGTCCCGCATTAGTTTTAAAAAAACCCACTTCAATCCGCCCCGCACAACCTTAAACTGGCCATGCATAGCTTTAAACCCACTCCACCCCACATGCGTCCCGCCCCATTGTCATCCCTATTGATATCTATCTATTGGCTCTCAAATACCCTTCCATCCACCTTTGAGTCCAATATTGACCACTTTTATAGTGGATTATCATTTAAAAATAATTTTTTTAAATGAGTGGCGACCATCTATTGGTTATAATTTAATAACTTAAATTAATTTACAAACTCACTCATTACTAATTATACCCGACCCAAATTGACTACACTCAACTCAAGTTAACTATACCCGCCCCAAATTACATTTACCCCACCGATTTAAACAAATACACCCTTCATTCCCAACAATTCATGTCCTCTTCCAACCTTACATTCCCAATATATTTGCTTACAATCTCGAAAAACTCTACCCAAGTACACTCATGTATCACCACAAAAAATCATGAGTGTTTTGGTGATTTTTTTATGGTGATACATGTGTGTATTTAGGTAGTGTTTTTCGAGATTGTAGGCGGATATATTCGGGAAGAAGATTGGAAGATGAAGTGAAATGTTGAGAATGAACGGTGTATTTGTTTTAATCGGTGGGGTAAATGTAATTTGGGACGAGTGTAATTAATTAATTTGGGTCGGGTGTAATTAATAATGGGTGAGTTTGTAAATTAATTTAAGTAATTTAACTGTATCCAATAGATAATCGTGTCGTTTTGAAGTTTTTATTTAAATGATAATCCGTAATAAAAGTAGTTGATATTGGATCCAAAGATGGATGACATGGGTATTTGGGAGCCAATAAATGGATGAAGGGTAGTTTTGTACCATTTTCAATAGTTCAAGGGTATTTTAGGCCCTTTTCCGTTTTCTTTTTTATACTCTATAATAATTATTATACAATCAATTTTTTTAGTGGAAGAAGACTTTGGTGTAGAGGAAGAAGGAGCAAAAATAACAATGGCCGATCCAGTAATTGGTGCTACTGTTCAAGTTGTGCTTGAGAAGCTGCTTTCTCTCACTATTGCGGAGGCCAAAACTTTAAGGAACTGCAAGAAAAATCTCAGAATGCTCACAAAATATGTATCCATCATCCAAGCTTTCATTCATGATGCTGAAAGACGACAAGTCGAAGATCAGGCTGTGGAAGAATGGCTTAAGATGCTTGAGAGAATTGCTGAAGATGCTGAAAATGTGTTTGACAAATTCACATATGAATCTCTCAAAGCACAAGTGATGAAAAACCGAGCCAAACTGATGGAAAAAGTCCGTAGCTTCTTTTCTAATAATGTTTTCAATTACAAAATGTCTCGAAAAATCAACAACATCAATGAAGAGTTGAGGGCTATCAATCAGTTAGCCAATGACCTCGGTCTCCAAGCACTGACTGTTCCTTCTCACAAAATACTACAAATCCGAGAAACAGACTCCGTAGTAGTTGCTTCGGATGTTGTTGGTAGAGACAAAGATGTTGCTGAAATAAAGGAGAAGATTTTGAATATCAGAGAGGAAGTTGTTCTGTGCACCATTCCCATAGTGGGTATGGGGGGGTTAGGGAAAACTACAGTGACCAAGAGAATTTTCAATGATGATCACATCAAGCAGCACTTCGAAAAGAGAGCTTGGTTGTGCCTACCTGAAATGTCAGAAATTAAGAGCTTTCTTGAACTGATCCTCGAATCATTGACACAGAGGAAAGTTGAGGTCCAGAGCAGAGATATAATAGTCAAGAGACTACAAGATGAATTAGGAGGAAAAAAGTATTTGCTGGTCCTGGATGATTTATGGCGTGTTGACTCTACATTGTGGCACGATTTCGTGGACACCTTGAGGGGAATAAATACATCCAGAGGAAACTGCATTCTCGTGACTACTCGTATGAAGCAGGTTGCCTCCATAGTAGCAGCAGATCTTCATATGTTGGGGAAATTAACAGATGATCATTGTTGGTCCATTTTCAAACATAAAGCATTTGTTGATGGGGAAGTTCCAAAAGAAATGGTGAGCATGGAAAAGAGGATTGTTGAAATATGTCAAGGTCTACCGTTGGCTGCAAGTGTATTGGGAGGCCTTTTATGCAACAAGAAAAGACATGAATGGCAGGCAATTCTTGATGGCAATCCCCTTGTAGGTGAAGATGATAATGGGGAAAATAGGACAATGAAAATCCTAAAACTCAGCTATGATTATCTACCATCCCCACATCTGAAGAAATGTTTTGCTTACTTTGCAATGTTTCCAAAAGATTTTAAGTTTAAAAAGGACCAACTAATCCAACTCTGGATGGCAGAAGGCTTTCTTCGTCCATGTCAAGAGACCCCTGTGATGGAAGACGTTGGGAACAAGTTTTTCCAACTCTTGTTGCAATATTCCTTGCTGCAAGATGTTGAGCTAGATGACCTCAATATTATAAGACGTTGTAAGATGCATGATCTTGTGCATGATTTGGCTGGAGATGTCTTAAAATCTAAACTATTTGATCCGAAGTGCGTTGTAGGAGAAAAACTTTCTCAAGTTCGATACTTTGGATGGGACTCACCAAGTGATCAAATAGATAAGATATATGAGCCAGGACATTTGTGCACATTGTTCTGGAAAACAAATATATCTGAAGATATGCTGTTGAACTTTCAGTTCTTGAGGGTTTTAAATTTGTCCAGGTCAGGCATCAAGAAGGTGTCAGCCAAAATCGGCAAGCTTATATACTTGAGATATCTTGATCTCTCCGACACCATGATCAAAGTCTTACCCAATTCCATTTGCAAGCTCTACAATTTACAGACATTTAGTGTCCATAATTGTTCTTCACTCATGAAGCTTCCAAAAGGAATGGCAAATATGATAAGTTTGAGACACATATGTTGCGGCCATCATTACCAATCAGCTTTTTGTTTTGGTGGTTGCGGATCAAGGTACCAAGGTAGTGATCAGTTTCAGATGCCACTTAATATGGGGCAATTGACTAGTCTTCAAACACTAGAGTTTTTCAACGTAGGTTTAGAGAAAGGTCGTCAAATAAAAGAATTAGGTCGTTTGAAAAACCTTAGAGGTGCATTGATAATCGGCTGTCTCCAATTAGTCGGAAATAAAGAAGACGCTCGAACAGCATATTTACAGGAGAAACCAAATATCTACAGGCTGGCATATTTGTGGTCCCATGATGAATCAGAAGGCAGTGAGATCAATGATGAACATGTGTTGGATGGTCTTCAACCGCATCCTAACTTGAAAACCTTAGTAGTTGAGAACTATTTGGGGACTATATTACCTTCATGGTTCAGTGAAGAATTGCTGCCAAATTTGGTCAAGTTGAAATTAAGTGATTGCAAAAGGTGCAAAGAAATTCCATCCCTTGGACAACTGAAGTTCCTTCGGAATCTTGAACTGACAGGATTCCTTGAATTGGAATGCATCGGACCTACATTTTACGGTGTTGATGTTAATGATAATAGATCAAGCAGCAATAATGGCAATATCCAAGTGTTCCCGTCATTGAAAGAACTACTGTTGAAGGATATGCGTAGCCTTATTGAGTGGAAGGGAGATGAAGTTGGAGTAAGAATGTTTCCTGGGCTTGAGAAGTTGACGATTACAGACTGTTCACTGTTAAAAAGTACTCCTACTCAATTTGAAATCCTGCGTGAATTAAGAATTGAAGGAGTTGACAGTGAAATGCCATTGTTGAACTTGTGCAGCAACTTGACATCTCTTGTGAAGCTTGATGTTTCTAAAGTGAAAGAGCTCACTTGTCTTCCAGATGAGATGCTACGCACTAACGATTCTCTTCAACACCTGTGGGTCACAAACTGCGGAAAGTTTCATGAATTGCCACAAAGCTTGTACAATCTCCATTCTCTTAAGAGATTACAAATACGCAGCTGCAAAAATTTCAGTTCTTTTCCTGTTCCCAATGGAGAGAATTATTTGACTTCCCTCCAATGTCTTCAGTTAGTTTCTTGTGATGGATTGACCAGTTTACCAAGTGGAATGCTAGACAATTGCCGGTCTCTACAAAATTTGAGGGTCAGCTACTGTAACAACGTAGTTTCCTTGCCTTTACATGTGTGGGAAATGCCTTCACTTTCAGATTTGAATATATCACGTTGTCCCAAATTGATTAGTGTACCCACAGGGGGCCTACACCGCCTCACCGGATTAGGGAGATTGGGAATTGGTCCTTTCTCAGAGATGGTGGATTTTGAGGCATTCCAATTGATTTTTAATGACATTCAGCAGCTGTTGTCCCTTCCTACATTGTTTGTGTACGGACGTTTGCACTGGGATTCTCTGCCCAATCAGCTTATGCAACTCTCTGCCCTAAAAGAGATCTATATATTTGATTTTGGAATCGAGGTTCTTCCGCATAGTCTTTGCAATCTTACTTCTCTTGAAAGATTACATCTAGAGATGTGCAATCGGCTACAACATGTGGACTTCTTAGATTCCATCCCAAAATTACGGGATCTCTGGATCCAAGATTGTCCATTGTTAGAAGTTCTGTCGGATGGGCTCGGCAACCTTGGCTCTTTGGAAAAAGTAAGTTTGATGGTGTGCAAGAAACTAGAGCGTCTGCCATCCAGAGATGTCATGCAACGCCTCACCAAATTAAGGATCCTGGATATTTATGACTGCCCACAGTTAGAAGAAAGTTGCACCAATAGGAGAAGCCCAAACTCCCAGTGGTCCAACATTTCCCATATTCCAAAAATTATAGTAGGTCTGTGGGTAATTCAGGAGTCAGGACAGTAAGTCTCTGTTACTCTTTCAGTTTCTGAGTTTTAATACTACTTTTTTTACTGCTATCAATTACATCTGTGCTATGCTTCCAGCATTTTGCTTGTCAACTTGAACCGAATTGTTCTTCTTCTAATTCTTCAAGTATGTCATATCTCCATATGATTTAATCATGAATGAAAAATTATGGATTTTTTCCTTATAGGTTACTAGCTCCAAGGTAACGTTGCTGTGGTAAATCAAGCCAAATCCTATGAGCAGCAGGCAATTACTTTAGGTAAATTTTCATTTAGGTAATCTACTAGTTTTTTGTCTTTCTCTTTGTTGGGGACCAATTTTTGGAGTTCTATGCTGATGAATACAACATTACCTTCCTAAAAAAGATGTTTTAATCATGAAAATTTATGTTTCTGCTCAGAGGTTACTAGGTACAAGGTCATGGTAGAACGTGGTTGTGGTATATCAAGTCAAAATCCATGAACAGCAATCGCCTTAGGTATTTTTATTTAGTTGTTATAGGAATGCTATAACAAGTTTGTCAAGTTCCTTTTTTCTCATGATACTACTTTACTGTTTAACAGGATTTGTTATGTTTCATAGAGGAATCACCACTGTTATTTTGAAGAACACAATCTTCAGCTATAGACTCATTACGGAGCACTTTTTCACAAGTATTTGGGTACTGAACAACCTTTTCGGGAACTGAAGTCTACATATGAAACATCAAAAAACTCAAAGTGTATAGGGTCCTCAATGAGAAGCTACACTGGTCTATCCTCTGTCTTTGCATGGCCGTGTTTGTCTTTTTATTATCCATGTAAGTTTCTGCAATGTTATTTGATGAATAAATTCTGATATCTACTCTCATTGGGACATTGGTATTTAACTTTCTATGTAATTGTGGAACTATTAGAATGTAAGCTGTTTTATCCCTTTTGCCAGAGCTTCATTCTTCATAAATTCAGTGTTTTACTTTCTCACAGTATTAATGTCTGACCCTCCCCTCTCCCAACCGGTACGAAATAAGAAAAATCTCAGTATTTGTCATACCTATTCAGGTGCTATGATGAAGATGACAGAAGCAATGGATGGTTGGTGCCATTGAAATCTGTTTGTGAGGTATTCATGACTTGCAGCTCAATTGATTGTATCCATGGAGGTTGTTGTGGTTTAAATGCACTATTAACTGCACCTCACTGTCATGCCAGCCACGTCTTATTCTCCTAGATTCCTTTGGATAAGAAAACTGCTCATTCTCTTCAAGTATAGAGAAGCATTCAGTGGCTTATCATAACTGGTAAATGTAGAGAAGGAATAATTGTCTTTCTGCCATGTGAATTTTCATATTTTATGGTACAAGGTTCCTTTTTTATTGACTAATTGATGAAACGCTAGAGGTAACAGAACCATTTCACTGAAAGCCACTAACATAAGCTTTGATGCAAGACAGATTTGAGTGCGCTCTGTCCATTGGATTGAAGGATTCTCTGTTCTGCTTATTGAACCACGATTTCCATGTAAGCTTCTTCTAAAGAAAAAACTGACCGAAATGTCATGAGACTTGTATAGCTAGTAGAACTTCTCCAGTTTTTGTTGACTGCATTCAACAATATTCCTTTTTCCTTTTTAATTTTCAGGGGACAGATTGGAACATTTTGCTTCAGTGGTGACTGTGGTTAGTAGAGAGGTCTATATAAGTTTCTTAATAGACATTCTCGTTACTTTCACTTTCATTAAAACTCTCGCGATTGAAGGACTTCAACAAAGAAAGTTACAAAAGACTGCTATTTATTGAATCTTATAGCAAAGAGTGCCCCCATTGGCTCTAAAAATGTCCTTAATAGCATCTGTTCATCTTTATAGATCTTATAATGAGCTGATTTTCCATTCATGAAGATCAAAATGTGTGTGAAAACTGACTTTTACTGTTTCAGATTGATGGTTGAAACAACGGCATGGACCTCTTATCTAAATCGTAGACTGGAAAAGATTTGACAGCAGAGGCCTTTCTTGCACAATGTTCATGCTGTCCCTGCCTTTCTTACAGCCCTCTTGGCTTTTGTTTGTGCATAATAAACAAAAAAAAGTAATATTGCTTTAATGTTTGTCTTAATTGATTGATGTTTCATGCTAGTAATTAGTAAATATTCTTTGCAAAATACTTCATATGCTAAAGCAAATATCAATTAAGCTCAATTAATCTAAAGTTGAAAAGCCTGTTGTTACAATATACACAACATTTATTTTGATGATGAACATTAATTAGGAGGAAAAAGAAGAGACACCATTTTGTAGAAATGAATTTGGTTGCAGCTCTATTTCATTATTCTTGCAACATTCACTCATATGTTTTTTGATTGTACTGATTATGATTTATGTATTTCTTTTTCCATTTATATTATTACGATTAAAGTCTTAAGAAGGATATGTATTGTCACGCCCCGAGCCTACACCCTGGACGTGGCTGGCACTCGAAGACCATTGCTGGCCCCCAAGCGAACCCTTGGCCTGGCTTTCTTAACTCAGCGGAAAAACTCAATGCAATGCAAGGTTATAAAATAACCTAACTGATAAAATCTGGCCAAAAAGGCAACTCAAGTCTCAAAATAGAATATTTACATATATACATAGATGAGAGACTCCAAAGTAACTGACTGACTGTCTATGAAGCCTCTAAAATACTGAGATGGATGTTGGGACAGACCCCGCGACATCCTAATAAAACAAAACTTAAGAGAACAAAATAACCGAGTCCTCCGGAATGCAAAGAGGCTCACCACTGACTCTGAAGTACTCAACTGGATCAACGGCGAACCGGATGCTGGCCCTGGGTACCTGTGTCTGCATCGTCATAAGATGCAGGCCAACTGGCATCAGTACATTGAATGTACGAGTATGCAAGCTGAAAAGCTAAACCACAACTTAAACTTGGAAGGAGTACAAAGGAACTATTACCTTGGCTCTGTTCAACTCATGAATAACTGAACTCAATATATAAAGCAATAAGACATGCAATATATAAATCTTGTAAAACAGTGTAAACAACTTAGCTTGGTAAA